AAATGTTGGCCTCTGGCTATAGTACTATACTTCCCAACATCACATTCAAGTAGATAGTTGATGAAAAAGGTTTGAAAAAGACTTTTTATGGTTTGCGCTTTTGCCTATATTTTGAGCATCCTCTGCGTGCTAATTTTGCGCTCAAGTAGACTAAAACTTAATATTTACAAACATCTCCAGTGAAACGGATTCACCGGACAAACACAAACAGTCCCCCAGACTGCATTCCTGTCCACCCGCCTGCATTCCTGTCCACCCGCCTTCCTCCTGTCCACCCGCCTGCATTCCTGTCCACCCGCCTGCATTCCTGTCGGTGCCGTCTGGGCGCAGACGTCACCGCTTTGGCCGGCGACGCTGGCACAGCCCGGCCGTCCCTGACCTTTGCCATCGCGTCCGCCAGTCGTCGCGCTTCTACCCGTCGAACCTGGAGGTGATCGACTGGCTGGGCTCCTACTTCATCGAGCACCAGGTCTCCGAGAAGGCCATCATGTTCTTCGAGCGCGCCGCGCTCATCCAGCCGGCCGAGGTCAAGTGGCTGCTGATGGTGGCGTCGTGCTACCGGCGCGCCGGCAACTACCAGCGCGCGCTGGCCAAGTACAAGGAGATCCACATGAAGTTCCCCGACAATGTCGAGTGTGAGTGTGTCTGGCTGGCCGGGGCCCGGCTGGGGCGGCCAGCGGCGGCGGCAGCGGCGGCGGCGGCGGGCGGCGCGGACCGGTCCGCCCGGCGCCGGCGGCGGGGGCCGCCCGCGTGTCTGCACGGACCGCCCGTGCGCGGCCGCTCTATTTATGTTTGCCGGCCGGCCAGACACGCGGCGGCGGGGGGCGTGGCGATGATGCAATCCGGCGGCGGCGGCGGCGGCGGCGGTTATTTCGAGGCGCCGCGCCGGGCCGCCGCCGCCAGTGATGAGTCAGGGGCACGGCGTTTCCGGGCGGCGCCGTCTCAGACGCCGCCGCCGGACGGGGAGCGGGACGGACGCGACCCGGTCAGCGCCCTGTCGCCGCCGCCGGACCCGAAACGGGGAGTGGGACGGGACCCGTCACATGGACCGCGTCACAGACTGGGGAGCTTGATAGATTCACCTGCCTTACAGGCTGTTGATAACTATTTTTAACGATTCATTTCCGTGACGATTCTGCGTCTGGGCTTATAAATCAAAGATCAGATTTTGGTACATTTTGATATGAATTGGGCTGTTCTTCGTGTTCCTACTACGCTGCTTGACTGGTCAGGCATACAAACTCTGCGATATATTGCGATAGTATGCCCTACTTCAGAGTGCGATACGCCTGTGATAATATCTCCCCTCCGTCACACCCTCGCCGATGATACGCTACGTGCGTCAGGATGGATGGAATCTCGGGTCTTCGGGCTGTCTTATGCATTATACCTTGGGTAATCTGCGGCGGGGCGGTCTGGTACCTTGCATGCTGCGCGGTCTGATTTACATCTTCCACGCTGTCCGTCGGTCTATGACGTGTGCTGTGGATTTTCCGTCTGTCTGCTGACGTACCACCCCATGCACCTCCCCTGACGGCTCTGTCCACCCGCTCTGCGACAGGCCTGAAGTTCCTGGTGCGTATCTGTACCGACCTCGGCCTGAAGGAGGCTGCAGACTATTCCATCGAGCTGAAGAAGGCCGAAAAGTCCAAGGAGATGCGGGATGAACGCATGAAGGGAAAGCCAGGCAGTGAGTATGCACAGAGCGCGACTAATATATGATTCTGCCTGCTCAGTCAAAATGAGCATGATGTCGTTCGCCGTTTTTCATAGATGTGTATATGATTGTTATTTTATATGCGTTCAGGATGTAGAGCTGAGACCAGTTCTGTTTAATAATGGATGCATGTATATTTCACTCTTATCATTTTTATCCTTATAATTTAGGATTTCAGTGACCATGATAAGATGATAAAATTATGGTGTCTTGGGTGATTTTTGTACGTCTAATTGGTATGTTTGAATATTAATGATAATAGTGCGATATTGAGTTAACGTTCTTGGCTGGAACTGGCAATTTTTGTCCAAACTGGAACCGAACTGTGGCTTTTCTCAGTTGATTGATCCGGCAACAATACCACACATCGCGCCATTCGTCGAAATATTTTTGCATTCCATCAACTTACCAAGTTCCTAAACACACTGCAGGGTAAATATTGAGCTAAGGGCATGACATACACTGTCAACTTACAATGGGGCCCCGCTGTAGATCAAGCATTATCGACTTCTTTGATACGAATGCTGTGGATTCGATAGTATCTGAGAAACGGACGCATGACATAAGCTGTAATGCATGGAAATAAACGAACGCGTAAATAAACGAAAGCGCATTTCAAATAGGGTGCGCTGAAAATTTACGTAATTTATTGGGCTAAATGGTTTCGCTGGTCTGTTCCGTTGTGTCATATCACGCTCCAATCTGGCTGTTTGTCGTGTCGCACCCCTCCCCGCCCCGATGTTAGGTACCGTATCTGCAATACTGACACCCCGCGTGTTCCGGCAGCGTCTTACCGGGGCAGCTCGGGCCGCGGCGGCTCCGACTCCAGTCTGGGCGGCAGCCGGCCGGGCTCGGCGGCCGCCGCCGCCCCCGCCGCCGCCGCCGCCGCCGCGGATGGGCCGACGCCCCAACAGCAGGAGGAGATCGGTGAGTGACCCGGCGGACCGTCCGATCGGTGACTCGGCAGGTGTTCATTTGCACGGCGGGTTAGTTCTTAGCCAGGCTGGCGCCGTCTGGAAAAAAATGTTCAACATGTTTAAACTGATTCTATACCGTAAAGCTACCAAACGAGAATTGTCCATCGCCCGACCAAATCGTCCATTACCGGTTTCGACTCATATATGACCCGGTTTGGCCACGCATTGAGCCACGATTCACCACCAATCATTAGCAACGTTACTTATGCACGCAACGTTAAGCTTTATCGTGGTCCAGTGATATATGCCTTTATTTGATTTGATTCAGTTCGTCCTTATTTCAATGTCTGGTGCGATTTTTGAACATTTCATTTATTTCCGACTTGATTTTTTAAATAATGTTGGCTCTAGTATAATGTCTATAATAATGTCTGTTTTTTTATTTACCTCATTCGTGGAAGATAATTGCTTGTTATGCAGCCAGCGCGTTGCCACGTACTCTCACGTGTAACACCTACCTCGCCCACCGGTGCGCCGCAGACGCCCGCTACAAGGACCCGCTGGGCCCGATGAAGCAGCGAATGGCCAAGGACGGTAAGAACGAGGACGACTGGGACGACGACCTGGACGACGACATGCTGCCGGAGTAGCTGCCGAGTGAGACGGCGGATCGCCGCTCTCCGGCTCACACGGTCCATGGATCGTCCCTTCCGTCGACCAGCCGTTCCGCCGGCCCGCCTGCTAATGTATGGAAAGTCCGGCGGCTGGTTCACCTGGGTTTGTGATGAACGATGATTGTCCAGGGTTATTTGGCGGGGGCTGAGTGTTCTCTGCGTCGTTTATTGGCTTCCACCGCGGTACATACGTGCAGGGTATCGTGTAAGTAGTATGGACAGATGCATGCATTTCTCGGCATTGGTTGTGAGTTGTGAGCATCGTCCGTGTCTGCTGGGACGGAGTTCTGCTGTTGGTAATGATAAATACGTTACGCGGTGGTCACGTGCGGAAAGAACAGCCACTACAGCCAGACTGTGTCTATGTAGATCTTACCGCTACGGGTCCAGTCGGGGTGTGATTGAATCTCCGTTTTTTTTTCAAAACGTGTAGGCCATTTGGAGACTTCGACTTGCTCACTTGCTCAATATGCGATGATGTGCAATTGTGTTTTACTTATCCGTTATACCTACTTTATTTTTGTGTTGTTATTCATGGACTTCATTTGTCATATTAGTCGTAAAACGTTAATTGCCAACATAGGCATGTGATAGGTCGCTGTCTACCGCTACTAGCATATAATTCTCGTATAATTCAGTGTCCTACACAGTATTGGCAGCCTAGACGGCGGCCTACCTAGCATCGACCACATCGACAACAGTTTCTGTCCATATGTCCATATAAAAAGGCGTGTTTACCGTCTGCTTACCCAAATAAAGCCACGTCAGTTCCAGATTGTGCCGTATCGGCTGTTTTAATCGTAGATCTGTTAATGTTTTGATCGATTCGCGAGACAGTGGCATAGTTTTGTTTAGTCTGCCATGCATCTGTCTTACTTTGTGTCTGGGAGAACGGGGTTAGTCGCACAGCGCATCTGCGCCACGAATTAGGGAGGGCAAATGGGCGAGGGGCGCAAGCCGAAATGCATCGATGAACGGTGCAGGTCTGCTCCATGAAGGTCGTGTCAGCGTTTGATACCTACGGGCACGGCGTGAAGTCAACAAAATCGCTCTCTGTCAGGCATATAGAATTAATGGGGCATAAATGGTTGTGGGTTCAACAGACCGTTTTTTGCCTGACCACGAATAACCGTCCGACCACTCTACGGCAGCGGAGTCGAGTCCGAGCGCGGGAGGCTCGTATCGCGCGAACTGTATATCCGTGAACGGACACTGCGCAGCCCACATCCGGTGGTCGGCGACCGATGGCATTGACTTTCAGACGTCTGGTCGGGCGCGGTCGATAACATTACGCCACATGGCACACGCGTGCGCTGTGCGCGTGGATCATGCGGCCTTCCACAAATATATCCTCTGCTTGACATGCGACCAGCGTACATCGACCGTCCATCGCAGGTGACCCGCTCCTGACCTACGTCACGAGACCCCTCCTCCCCTTTCCGGTTCCCCGCCGAGGCCCTTGCCGTCGCCTCGGCTGCCACGCAAGTTTCGATGAATGGCACACGTACGCATGCGCGTTATGTGTTTACAACCGCCCACGTGACCTCGTAATGATCGCGCTGCGCTGAAGAGCGTAGGAAATTGTACGCAGTTGTGTGATCTGTATGTGGCATTTGGACGACCTGTTGACGTTTCAGAGCCTGTGGAATGACTCAGGTAAGTCTTTGACGTCGTTTTCCAGCACTTTTCAGTACTGGGCGCGCAATGCTTTCGAGCGTTTCGCGTGATTGCGTCTGGGTGCTCAATCGATATCAGTGCCCCACCACGTTTTCCAATGGTAAGCTTGTGAAGTGCTGACAGTTCAAATTTGGCACAATAAAAGTTTTAAGATTTGGTTTGCATCAAAAAGCTCATTTGTTTCTACACAGGCTAGCGAAAAATGGCAAAATCATGCATTGCGACCGCCTTGTAGACGAAAGTGGCGCGACGTGGGTGTATTGCTCCCTGTATTTCAATTTGTATTGGAAGTTATGGTATTTTTGGCAGGCATTTGTTAAATTGAATGATACAGTAAGTTTTTCTTACTTAACTAAGAAACAGATTACTAAGTTTCCAACCATTCAAGCTTATAATTCGTGGCATTCCTGGTGTGAATTTTGGTTTGTCGTCAACATTTTTTAGAAGAATGAAAAGTTAGTAATATTTATCTTTGTGTACCTGTATATACCCTGCCCTTAAACAATTCAGGGAAGTGTTCAGCTCGTTTCCCTGTACATGGGGTGAAGCTGTTTTCTATTTACTCATACTTTTGGCCATACTGTGCAAAGCTTACGAGTACTTCAAAGCTTAGAGATAATACACCAAAGACATGGCCTGTTACTCTACTACTTAATTATAACATTTACATGAAGAGGAAAGTTCATGTTAATGCTTCATGAATGAATTATCTGGGTGTGTTGACTTCTTGGATGAACATTGAGCGTATTACATAATGTCAGCTTAAAATTTGTTTTAACACCATCACCTACCTATGTGATATTTCACCTACTACAGTTAAGAGTCTGAATTTCCTGCCAGCTAAATTGGTCATACAAGTATAATTGGTAAAGTAGAATAGTTACCTAGCCATTCAATGCAGACTGCAATTCTTCAGCCATGTGAACACTGAATCAACATGCCAAGGCCATGGCCAAGTGCTCAGCAAACACTTTCATCATGTTTGCTTTTTAATTTTTTTTAGTGGCTTTATTGTCATAGCACCCTTTCGCCAGTATTTAGGATGCATACATTTTTCCTTCTGCAGCTGGTTGAAGTTTTCAGTGACACTGAAAACTTCGTTTGAAGATCTCCCTAATTCATATTAGTGTGTAGGTAATGTGTTTGAATATGTGAATCATTCAATATGGGACTGCATATCAAGCTTGTGCAGTCCCATTCAACAAATAATGATGTTTTTCTTTCAAGGTCATGTATAGATTATTTGTTTTTGAATGTAAATTTGTAAGGGGTTGTTATTCACAGACTGTAATTTTGAGGTATAGGAAAGCAACCTATGCATGCTTCAGAGGCCAGAGCAATATAAAAAATTGCATTGTGGTAGAAGTTGAACACTTCAAAGCAAATTTTTTTCTTTCACAGGAAAATGTAGTCAGTGTAATTATTTGAGGAAATCCTATCTTGTATTGCAGACTAGTTTTCTCAAGTAGGTATGTAAAAAAGCTTAATTCAGCTACCCATTTTGGCAGCATAGGCATACAGTACACTGGAAAGCATGTTATATTGTTTTTGGAGATTGCCGGTGCTGTGCCATCACACTGATCAGCTGGTAAACTGAGATAAGGCAGGACAAGCTTGGTGTTCAGCATGGCCTTTTGCACTTTGGTTGTGCTGTTGTGATCCAGCACATATTTTCAAGTTGTCTTTTGTAAATAACTTGAATTTGGTATGTTTAAAAAGTCTGTTTATAAAGTGTGAATGTGCTGACACTCTGTAAATTGTGTGTGGTTTGACCCAGCGTGATTTGTGAATATGCTGATGGTCTCATGTGAGCTGTCTTTGGTGTGACCAAGTGTGGCTTGATAATTGTTAACCTAGCAGTGATGGGGGGGGGGGGGGGGCAGGTAGGGGGTAAATATTATCCCCTCCTGGATTTTTGGGATAACTCATGATCTGCATAAGCTATTAACACGAAACTTTCAGTACCTTCTTTTGCATCAATTTGACACATATGCTGTACAAAGTTTGGCGAAATATGTTAGAAAATTTTGAAAGAAATGACAGTTTTATGGCGTCGCTACGCGCGATTTTCGTGCAAAAATAGGCCAATATTCAAGTAGCCACTTCTCCTTCATTTAATAAGCAATTTCAAATTTTAAAACATAAGACGCAGAATCTTGTTTTATAAAACACCTTATATATATATATATATATATATATATATATATATATATATATATATATATATATATATATATATATATATGCAACACAGGCAGATGAAAATGGCACCATTGAACTCCCCGTAAAATTCTGCATCGAAAGAAACCTTTTTAAGACAAAAATAACCAATAGAAATTTTCACCTATATTGACAGGAAATAATCATGTATTGATCTTTAACCTGACCTTGACCTCACCTTTGACCTTTTTAAGAAAATGTTAAGCATTTACCTGAACCTTTTCGTTACGAGCTTTCGATTGCCGCCTTCCGTGTATTTCTACGGCCCTTGGTTTCTGAGCTAGCGGAGGGGGGGGGGGAGTAATATTCCCCCCCCCCCCCCCAGCGCTGGGCGTTCGGCTGGAGATCCCAGGGCCGCACGGGTTATTGTGCTGACCATGAGTTTTGCCAACTGTAGCCTGTCAATGTGCTATGATAATGTAACTGTGATGTGTGTTTGGGCAGGTGCGGCGGCCGCGGCCGTCCTGGTAGGTCTGCCACAGTCGCCGTCTGTGACTGGTGACCCTGCAGAGCGCCGGTGCTGGTGCTGAGCTGGTGCCATCAGAGGTGGGGGCGCTGAGTCGCCGCACACCAATCGCTAGTCACCATTGATCCCACAAGATCAGCCATGGCCGACACGCTGGGCGAAATCCAGAAAATGGGCTACCTCAAAGTCCGCAGGAAAGAAGAAAAGGTAGGTACCTATGGTGCATTCACCTGACATCACCTACCCTGAATAATGCCTATTTGAAAGAATGTCGTAAAGAAAAGAACATAACATTTTTAAACATGACAGAATTGAAGCTGCTGAATCATGACTACACTTTTGGCCTTTCATTGAATCAATTTATATTGCAATCCTATTATATAGTATGATTTTGCTCAACAGGAATATATTTTATTTCGAGCACAGCTTCTTGGACGTTTTTGGACTGACATTATTTGTTTGTTTTCAGAAGTTCAAGAAGAGATGGGCTGTTTTACGCCAGGACACGGCCTCAGTGGATATTTATGAGTCTGACAAGAAATGGAGAGCCAGAGACAAATGCAAAATGTACGGAATTATCTGCCAATTGTTTCCATATATTTGTTGTGCTTCCCACCTATATGTAGTTATTTTCATGTTTCGTAAGGGAATATTACAGTTGCTACCACCATGCATGCATCATCTCGTTAGGTCAAGTGACCTGATGCTGTTCCGACCATCTCCGTCTTTATGTGACGCGTTTGGCGGACGTGTCGGCAGGACGATCCCGCTGTCACCGTGCTTCAGCGTCAGCAAGAAGGAGGAGCCCAAGTGCAAGTACGCCATCGGCCTGATGGGCACGGTGAGCTACACGCTGGGACTGGACTCGGATGAGGAGCAGACGGACTGGTTGCTGCGGCTGCGCTGGGTGCACCAGGGCGGTCGGCACGCCGACGCCGAGCCGCCGCGGCCGCACTACGGTGAGACAGCGCCCAGAGGAGCCGTGGGAGGTTGGCGATGGCCGGTGGGTATCACCCAAGATGCGGCGAGCCTACTTATATTCCCGGCCATACCGCCCGTATATCTCGCCCTGTTTTTTGAAGTGACGAGGTTTGTCCGGACACCTGTCGTTTAAACCACGCGCATTGTCTTTCCCCTATGTCCGCCGGCCGTGGTCCCCTCGCTGACGCCGCCCTCCCTTCCGTACCCGGCAGACTCCATGTGGGAAGTGACGATCACCGACCGCGGCCTGGGCAGCACCAAGAAACTCAACGGCCAGTATTGTGTGGGCCTCACCTGTGACGGCATTCAGCTCATCAACAAACGCAACAACAACGAGACCTACGACCTGCCGGTGAGCGCCCGACCCGACCCGACCTCGAGCCCCACACTGACACCGATCCTGACCCGATTCACCCGCGTCCCGATACTGCCCGATATCGACCCTGACCCACACGCCGACCCCGACTGCGCTACCTGCTCCCGATTTTATTTTGATCTCCTTTGTTAGCTGCTTCTGCGTGTGGTGTCGGTCATTCGTGACCTTTATTTGTGGACGTGCTGGATCCGGCCGATATTTTACGGTTTTCGGAGGTTTTCCGGTGTGTGACCGCGGTCTGCTCGTTCCCAGTTCTCCGTGATCCGCGGCTGCCGCCACATGGAGTGTTTCTTCTGGCTGGAGGTGGGCCGCACCTCGTGTTTTGGAGCCGGAGAGATCTACATGCAGCTCGCCGAACGTATCTACGCCCAGAATATGCACGAGGTTATGAAGACAAAGTTCAAGTGAGTGACTAAGCAGTAAGCGCTGGTGGGTGTTCTTGTGAATGAGTTACAAATCATTTATAGAAACAATTGGCATTATACATATTTGATAAAATATGTTCATGAAAAGCACAAGACTGATAGCATGTTATTGTTTAATTTGCTCAGTTTTTAGTTTACGTGCCAATAATATCGAAATTCATGTCAAAGGATATGCAGAGTATCGGCAACCATGCGCTCTGATAGCCTACACAGTTGCTGTAGCCCTCCTCCACCTGGTGCACCACCCTGGCCGGTAAGTGCGGTGCCTCGCACCTGAGCGGTATTCTGTTACCGACGCACCGCTGTGCTGTGGCCGCTGCTGACCTGTTTGCGCTCTCGCCGTCCGCCAGTTCTCGGAGCAGCGAGTCGAGCAGCCAGCAGGGCGAGTCGCGGCCGCGCGTCGCCTCCACTTCAGAGCCGTCGCGGCCCATCAACGTGGCAAAAGGTCGCCGCAACACCTACTCATGTGAGAGACAGCTCCCGTCCGCGGCCCGTCCCGCCCCGCCCCCGCTCCGGCTCCGGCTCCGGTCCCGGCCTGGTCCGGATAGGCCGCTCTCAGTCACCATCATGTCTCTCCGACTCTCTTCTTCAATTTTACCCTTCTCTTTACTCAGTTAACCAACTGCCTTCGATCTCCTCTATCCCACCTTCCCACTGTCTCTCTGCTTTCTTCTAACCCACTAACGGCCGCTTACTGTCTCAGTCCGATTCGTGTCGTTAGTTGTCTATCGGTTTGTTTTTATTCGCTGTCTCAGCTGTGGACGCTGGACGCCATCGTGCTCCCGTATCTGTCTGGTTTAGTGCTTTGTCTATTTCTGTATTCTTGTCTCAGCTGTGGACGCTGAACTAGTCTCAGCTGTGGACGCTGAACTACGGTCGTGCAGCTCCTGTGTCTAGTTTTGTTCTGTGTCTGTCTGTTTCTGTGTTCTGCTGGCTCAGCTGTGGACGCTGAGCATCGGTCTTGCTCCTGTGTCTGTCTAGTTTTGTCTCTATCTGTGTGGTTTTCTGTGTGTTGCTGTCTCATCTGTGAACGCTGACCTCAGTCGTGCAGCTCCTGTGTTTGATGTATCTGTGTGTGTGTGGGAGGAAGAACGGCTCTGTCTGTAGAAAGGGATGCATGCAATGGCAACACACAGCGGCCAAGTATCGCTGCAGACGCCGGGAATTTATGCCTCGAGTGCAGAGTGATTGCTAATGGACTTTTATGGGTTGGCTGTGTTTTCCGGTGTTGCAATTTTCGAGCTGTTTGTTTGCATTCGGTCGTATGTCTGCTGTCTATTCAGTTGTGATTCCTTGTAGTCAACAAAACTGGTGCTCAGGTGCATAGACACTTTTTGATAGGTACGTCTTGTGTCTTTAGGAAGATTGTGTTATTTCCTTTGTGTTCTGTGAGGTGTCAGGTGAATCGTTCTTTTTTGTGACGGCATTACTGAATCTCATGTGGCTTTCATTTTATCCATTATGACTGCTTCGTTGGAAGCTGGAAGCTCTGCTTGTTTTATTTGAGAGAGCTCTGGTCGTGTTTACAGTCGCTTTGTTCTGTGTTATTGTCGAGCTTAAAACACATTCTTTCTTCATCTTCCCTCGTCATGTCCCTGATTTTTGTGTTTGTGAAAGTGACATTCGTTCTACCTCAGTGCTCTCTTCGTTTCCCTGACTACTCTGCCGTGGTTAAATGTGTGTGCCCTTGTCTGATCGTGCTGAGGAGATGAATTGTCTGTTCAACAGTGATGGCGACTCACTGGTGGCTTTTTAGTGACAATTTTAGAAAGGATATTACAGACTAAAAGGGTGCTTCGGGTGAAAAGCATGCATCACCTGCTTGCTGACAACATTTTAAAACAAAATGCGGGTAATACAGAACAATCATGCGATAATTTCAGCTCGTTCACTTCATTGAAAGACTGTAAGCGCCAATTGTTTCTCCTTGGCGCTTTTCACCGAGTTGTGTCTCCAATCATGAGAGTTTCCAAAACGAGTAAATACCGGCCTCATACCGGTAATTCGGCCTCACCTGACCCCACTGTTCCGCCGTCAACAGCCAACAACAGTTCCCACACGTCTGTGAACACGATTCCTGCGGCGACCACGCCGGGTCGCGACCGGTCCGGGTCGGTGCCCAGTCGGCCGCGCACGACCAGCGAGGGGACGGGCGACCGGCACCACGCCACGCTGCACGGGTCAGTGTTATCATTACTGACGGACGACGCATGTCCGTGTGTCGCCAAGTTTCTACGCGCGTGTCTTTTCTCTTATGTATAAACTTGTCGTGTGGTTAGTACCACAACGCTGCGCGTATGTATAATATGTTGCGTGTGTGTTTTTGTAAATAATTTAGCTTGACCGACTAACTCACGGCTGGCAGGCACCACACCCGCTCTCGGGTCGGCACGGACAGCCACAGCCGCATCTCGCTGGTGGCTCACTCGCGCAGCTCCAGCATGACGGCCGGATCGCCGCCCGTGCCCAGCAGCTCCTTCAGGTGAGCGCTATGATACCGTGCATCATTCGAGTGAGCAAGGTAACCGAGACATGTCTGAGCCATGACCGAGACTGCTCACGGTCATGTGTGATATTAAGAAGTGAAAATTCGTTGGTTCTGTCTTAAGCTCAGTTGTCTCCGGCTAGTGGGGCTGTGCCGTGTATGCCTGTCACACTTCCCAGCCCGCGCTGACCGCCCCGGCCGCCCCTCCGGCAGCCCGGCGTCCGTGGATAGCAGCTCCTCGTACAGTATCGACGAGCACGGCAGCGTCTGTCACCCGATTACCTCCGAGAACACGATTGTCGAGGAGGCCGCCGGCGACTACCTGATGGTGGACCGCGGCCGCGCCAGCGCCGAGCCGCAGGATGCCGCCGGCGGCCGGAAGCGCTCGCTGCCGCCGCTGTCGCTGCCGCTGGCGCCGGCCGGCTCGGCGTCGGCCGGACCGCCGTCGGCCGACTCGCCTTATCTGCCGATGGTGATCTCGCCGGGCCGGCAGCCGGCGCCGGCCGGGGCCGAGGAGGCGCCCGCCTACCTGCCGATGGTGATCGCGCCCGGCGGCGGCGGCGACACGCCCGACGGATACATCACCAGCCCCAGTGAGTAGATAGCCGCGGGGACGGGGTGGCGGAGGAAGGCGCTAGACTTATGTACATGCTTTGCTCGGCATATTTGCGGCTGTTATGTTTATCATGTTGTTATTCGGTTGACAATACTTGTGCACTGTTGTCGTCTTATCCAGAGATTATACTGTGTGAGCTGATTGTGTCTCCTTCATCGTTGCAATTACACTATCGCAGTATAATTGTGCCACCATCTCCGTTTCCTCTAAGTTAACCCGTGTCCCTTGTTCACTCCGCAGCTCCGAGCCAGGGCCACCGCGGCCACCACAGCCGCGACTCGAGCCTCACCGAGGACAGCTACGTGCCCATGTTTCCTCAGTCGGAGCACGGCGACTACCTGGACATGCGCGTGGGCGGCGGCAGCGCGTCGCACCTCTCCGATGGTGGGTGACTGCCGGTGACCTGTGCCGGTCACAGGCTGGTGTATAGTCGGGTGGTGTTTGCTGGCTGCAAGATGGTAGGGAAGAAAATCAGATGTTGGAACTCTGTTTCACTTTGTCTACGTACTCCGGGAAAGGATACTTTTTCAACTGGTATGTAAGATTATTGTGGTGAGAAGCCCAGATGCTTCTTTGATCGTTACCTATCTGTGCCTCTGTTTGTGTTCAATGTGTCATAATGTGCTGAACTACGGGCCTCAGCTGCCACCCTGACCGGACACCGGACCCATCCTTCTGCCTTCTCGACGTTCTGGCTTATCTCTCGTCCTATCAATCCCTCGGAACCCTCAAATCTAACCGGCGCCCCCTTCTCCCGGCAGCGGAACTGAGCTACAGCGGGGCCGACCCGGAGGGTTACGTGCCGTTCGCACCGGGACACCCGCACTTTGCGGGCGAGGCCGTCAGCCCCAGTATGGACGTGCACCCGGCTGGCAAACGAGCCAGCAAAATATCGGACGGTAAGGGTCGGGAACGGGTCAGTTGAACAGGCACTGCGGATGGTCGTGAGAGGATAAAATAGAGTGGAATTTGTGAGAGTGGAATGAGAGTGGGAAGTGGCGTAAAAATTAGAAGTAGAGCGAGAGAAAGGAAAGGAGTGAGACTAGAGAGTTGAACGAGTCTGGATCCAAAAGAGATTAGCCGTGGGACCACGGACGGAGATTTGAACGTTTTAAATTTCCTTTTCAGACTGGAATCCGCTGAGTTTAGGTATGTGGGTCGGTGAGATTTAGGTTAGGTCCATGCCATTGCACAGACGCCGCACGCTCACCAGATCTGGGACCGCCGTGAATGGACGAACACTCGGGTCGGGTGGTGCACGACTCAACTTTCTGTTATTTTCTTTTCCTCCTAATATAAAGTTCAACGATATTTTAGTCACAGTAGCTTCACCTCGCGCGGGTCGCCAAACTATCCTTGCTCACTACCGCCTCATATCTTCTACTTCTTTCTAGTTCTCAGTTTTCTCACGGTAGTTCTCACGGTAGGTGCAACCGCGAGGCCATTCGCTTCTCCTCGCCCACAATAAAGACGCATGCTCACATTACTTTAGTCTTAAAATATTTCTGCTGCTCAACTCGGCTACGCAATCCCTTCCTGTGCCGGACAATCTCAGCAGATTCACTAGCTTTTCACCATGCACCCAGCCTCTTTTTTCCGATCAACTTCATCTCTCGTCTCCACCACATTCGGCTGCCTGGCCACCCTCCCCCACCCTCGGCCTCTGACTGCCCCGTGTGTCCGGCAGCCGACTCGTACGTCGAGGTGTCGCCGGGCTCCAGCTGCAGTCTGCTCTCGGGTACGCCGCAGTCGGAGTCGGCCCACCTGGACCGCGCCGCGCCGCTCACCGTGCTCACGCCGCCCTCCGAGGACGCGCAGCCGACCGGCCGACACGCCGCCGCCAGCGCGGCCGACCGGCAGCACGCCAGGTGAGGACAGAGGGTATAGCTAGTGGTGGGAGGCACGGCCGGCCGACCGGCAGCACGCCAGGTGAGGACAGAGGGCACAGAGGTGGAAGACGTGACCAGACCAGCGGGGACGCCTGGTACACTGGCACAGTGCAGAGCGCACACCACATGGATCGGCAGACAAGGTGAATGACATGGTTCAGCGGAACGGACCGCCCGGCTCTCGTACTGATCTCGATAAGTATATCGAACCAGTCGATCGTCTCGAAATCGATAAGTCCATCGAACGTTGTAAGTATTTGTAACGAGAAGTGTTCATTTACTTTTCCTATTTTACGTTTGTATTGGCATTTTGTTTGTTTTTTTTTTGTGTCGGGTACCGACGACTCCGTGCCCACCGGGGCATTTGTGAGGTGTATTTGCTGACCCGCCCGACCCTCTCCGCAGTCGGAGTGACGGCGAGAGCACGCGCATGCGCGCCTTTTCGCTGGGCAGCCGCCTGAGCCAGGCGCTGAAGCCGCGCCGCCGTGATCGCTCCGAGAGTGACTCGAACTCCACCGAGCGGCCGTCCACCGGCGAGCCTGGAGTCCACAGCAGGTGAGTGGGACGGGAGCGACGAGCGAATGGCAGCTGGAACTCTGCGCGAAATTCCTGAAACTCCGTGCGTAGCAGATTCAGCTGAGAGCAGCAGCTCTCCCTTGGCTGTTGTTGGCTGTTCTTGGCATCTTGGTCTTCTCATGGCTGTTCTATCAGTCTATTTTGGAGCAGCAGGTTTCCAGGATGTGAGAGACTTCACTGCTCAATTTTCTTTTTCTATAGTCTTCTCAGAATATCGACGTGGTGAATGCTTCCTACTCAGGCATCGCACGGTCTCTCCCCAGTGTAGCTGCCCTGATGAGCTGCTTCATCCTCACACCCGCAGTTCCGGGGCGTTGAGCAGATCATCACATTTCTCCCTCTTTCCGCAGTTCTGGAGCGGTGAGCGGCTCGCCGCACCTGAGCTCGTCTCTGGACTCGCCGCTGACGCCGCTCAAGGAGTACTGCCGGCGCCGACAGAAGGGCACCGAGCTGCGCGAGCAGACGGGTAGCCCGGCGGCGGAGTCGCACTGCAGCCAGGACAGCCTGCGGCACCGGCCGCGCTCCAACTCTCAGAGCAGCCAGGGCAGCGACAAGGTGGGGCCGCCGACCGCCGCCGAATGGGGACGGGGGGGGGGGGGTGGCGATGTGAGGTAGATGTACTGCTCACTGAGCGGGGGGGGGGGGGGGGGTGGCAGCTCGCGCTTGCTTGGTATCTTTGCTTCAGTATTTGCGATAGTGCTTATGTGCTTGCTTGAACTATCGGTAGTTTTAGTGGCTGGACTTGTATTGGTCTAGCTGGCGTAAAGGTGAGGATGTGACCTTCTTGTCGGCTACGCTAGGCTGCAGATTTCGATATCTCTAAGCATTCCGAGTATTTCTATTGTTAGTTGGCGGGGATATTTTTTCCTGCCGTTCTCCTGTGGTGGGACTTGGCTGTGCTGACCCGGCGCGTCTGGTGGCGGCAGACTCACAGCAATGGCTGGCGGATGCTGTTCAAGCGTCGCGACAAGAAGTCGACCGGCTCTCTGCCGGTGGACGTGCCGGCGCAGCGCGCGCCCCGATCGCCGAACCACCCGCCGCCCTGCGCCGAGGAGACCTACGTCGGCGTGGCGATGGGAGCGCCGGCGCGCGCGGGCGGCGGCACCCGGCGCCGGCACCGGCCCAAGCGGCGCGACGCGCAGCCGCACTACACGGACGACGACTACCTGATGATGGGTCCGATGCACCTGGACGAGGACACGTCGTCCGGCTCGCAGGCCGGCTCGCTGAAGCGGCGCACTCCGGCCGTCCGGCGCGCACCGACCACCGAGAACGACAGCTACATGTCGATGGAGCCGGTGCGGCCGCTGGGCAGCCCGCTGGCCAGTCCCGCCGGCGGCGACTACCTCAACATGGACATGTCGCTGCGCCGCGCGCCGCCCACCGCCGCGCCCACGTCCGACTACGTGAACATGGAGATTAGCGGCGGCGTGCCGGGCCCGACGCCACCGCCGGCCGCCGACACCTCCGACTACCTGGCCATGACGCCGCGCTCGCTGGCCACGCCGCCCGGTGTCCCAGCGGCCGCTCCGGCGGCGGCGGCGCCGGCCGGCTCGGACGGCGACTATCTGGAGATGTCGCTGGGCAGCCGGCCCACGCCAGCGATGCCCGTGATGCGCTCCCGCTCTGCACGCTCCTCGGCGGAACGGGAGCCGGAGCGGTGGCCGGCTGGCAGCCGGCGCGACCCGGACGCCTACTGTGCGATGGAGGCGCCGCGCCGGCCCGTCTCGGCCCTCCTCTCCGTGCAGACCTCCCTAGACGGCGGCGACACGGAGCGCCGAAAGTCGGACACGACGTCTCCGGACGACCGCCGCCGCAGCATGGGCTCCGGGTTCAGCCCCGGACCGGGCTCCGGCTCCGGAACCAAGGTGCAGCGGAAAAACTCTGGGGTGACCGGCGCCGGCCTGCTGCGCAAACTGGACGCCATGAACCCGCGCGCTATGTTCCGCACGCTCAGCCAGCGCGGCAAGAAGGACTCGAAGCGCCTGTCGCCGGGCGCGGCGGAGGGCGGCGCCGCGCCGACCAGTATAGACCGCTCGCCATCCTCCCAGTCTCTGTCGTCGTCCAACAGTATACAGGAGGAGGTGGAGGTGGGCGCCGGCGCCGACTGCGAGCCGCTGACGTCCAGTGGCGTGCCCGTGTTCCGAGCCGCCGAGCCGGCGCCCGAGTCGCGGCTCGGCTCGGCCAGTCCGTGCGGCTCGGTGGCCAGCGTCACGCCGCGCGCCTCGCTGGCCAGCTCGCAGGCGACCACGCCGCGCCAGACGCCGGCGCCGACACCAACCCCCACCCCGCTGCCGCTGACCACCAGCAGCTCCCTGACGAGCTTCGCGCCGGCGGCGGCGGCGGCAGCGGCGGCCGCGGCTCCGGCGGTCCGGCAGCGGCACGAGTCGAACCCGCCGCCGTGCAGCCAGAGCCGGCAGCAGCGGCCGCAGACGAGCTGCGGCTCGCGCTCGCTGACGGCGCTGCCCACAGAGGAGCCCGAGGTGGTGTACGCCTCGCTGGACCTGGTGGACGGCGACACTGCCGCCTGCCAGGCGCAGCTCGCCGCTGCCAGCAAGCTCACCTACGCCAAGATCGACTTCAAAGAGACGGGAAAGCTGAAGCAGCGCGACAGCTAAGGTCGGGCGGCGGCGGCCGCGGCGGCGGTGGTGCGGTGCGACCCGGGCGGCTCGCCGACTCCGGTGGGTCGCTCCGGCCGGCCGCGCGGACACTGCCCTAAGCCGCCGTCTGGTGGGCGGGTCCCGGGTCACTGCGCCGGGGCCGCCTACCCTCCACGGCGCGCCGCGCGTGCCCGTATTTTACCGAGGTATTTTGTTATTTTATATACAAGTTTATTTAAAGCGTAGCGGCGTGTGGCTGCTGTGTGCAGGCGGTGGCGCTGTGGTCGTCTTCTACGGGGCGGCGCGCCGGCCCGGTGGTGCTCTGAGCTTTGCTGCGCGCCCGTCGTGATGTGCGTCTGTTATGTGTAAGCGCGTGTTGGCGGTGTGAGTGTGTGAGAGGTGTCTGCGCGCGCTGTGCGGCTCGGTGTGGCACCGGCGGACTGCAGCCGGCGCTCCGGCGGGGCAGGGCCGCCGCGCCGCGCCCGCCGACCGGCGCTGGTCGCCGGCGGACAGCCGTCAGGTAATGGCCGGGTGGGGCGGCCGTCCTCTGTTAGAGGAGCCCCACGGCCCGCGAGTGTGGTTTTATTGTTGTTATGTAAGGATCATATCAGTGTTGTTTTATACATCTGTTGAGTCTTATTTGCTCCGTTCAAGACGCCGCTAGTCATTTGTGGTCTTGTTCGGCATCGCTTGTCAATGCTCGGCCGCGAGCCGGGCCAACATTTAACTAACATTGGCCACGTACTGTGCATAGATAATTATTTTAATACAGGAGTGCTAGGTACGAACCAGTGTTTGATATCTAGGATATCAGTGTTTGACAACTAGGACTAAAGCTGGCACTACTTGTAGTTTGGCTGGGCAAGGTCATTTTCCGAGGGCATCGGGCGTAACACACATTATCCTTGTTGCCTATTGCGGTGGCGAGACAAGCATGCTTTTCTTTCTCACCCTCTCGCATCAACCCCTGAGCCCTCAAATGCTGATATCAGCGAGCGAGACTAGTAATTTGGTGGGAGCAGAATATCTGTTATTTTTGTGTTCGCAGCTGTGCGGCGGATTCCCAACTGACAGCTAATCGAATTGACGCATTATATCGTATTGCCGTAATTCGACCAAGATGGCTAGGACCGTGCTTTTCCTGGGTCTTTCGCAACCTTTTGACACGTATCACGCTCCACGACCATACAGTGACCAGTATTCGCGTCCGCGTGTGATCATCCGCTTGTCAGTTGTCACCTCACATTCCGTGGCGGCGCAACCTACTATGTTAAATTCGCAAGCATGGTATATCAATTACCATCGCCTTATAACAGATTAGGGCGTCGAAGTTATTACGGCTTTGCAGATTGATGACAGCAACGACACGATATCAGCATTCAACGAACAAACCACTAACTACGGAGCATGGAGACTGCAACAGTACGCACGACACTAACTCCACGGGGCATGGAGACTGCAACGGTACACACGACACTAGCCACGGGGCGTGGAGACTGCAACATAAACACAACACTAACACCAAGGGGCATGGGGACTGTAGAAGTGCACAAGACAGTATCACCACTAGAAGGAGACTGCAACAGGACACACGACACTAACATAACGGAACATGGAGACCGCAACAGTGTACAAGACACTAACACGAGACGCGGAGACTGCAACAGCCAACAGTTCACTCGACACTAACATGAGACGAGGAAACTGCAGCAGTACACAAAACACTAACACCACTTGAAGAAGACTGCAACTGGCAACAGTACACAAGAAAGTAACCAAGGGCCTTGAAAACTGCAGCAGTACACAAGACACTAACTTCACGGAACATGGAGACTGCAGCAGAACACACGACACCACAACGGAACATGGAGACCGCAACAGGGCACAAGACACTATAGTTCGTTTTTCTTAAGTTTGCCCCTCACTGTAAACGTCTTTTTGAGCACAGCACGAGAATTGCTAGCTATATTACTGAGAAAACTGGTTAGCGCACATTGTATTGTAGATATGATTAATATTTTCAAAATTAAGTTTTGAACACCGACGATTTCACGTTATGTTAAAGGGACCCTCCCACCTTCAAAAAATTAATGAATTGGCATGAAAGTGATGTCGCTCCGTTCAGAAAGAGCAAAAACGAATATCTACCAAATTTCATCGAAAAATATTCACCGGTTTTCAAGATATTAGACTTTTACTTTTGTTTACTTTTTGGGATCTCTGCTGCTCCTAGCGACTTTATTTGAAAGTGCGGCATTTGTTGCGCGCAAAGCAGCATATACCACCGCGTGCTACAAAACGTTTTAGTCAAACATTTAATGGACGTTCGAAAGCCTGATGACGTCATCAGATTCCCGTAATGGTTAAGAGATAGGGACCACGCTGGTCCCACCCTGCAAGTAAAGGGAAGAAATTTCTTGAACACCATAAAGCTGCGGGGGTTGCGACCAAGATAAATGGTGGTTTCTGAGCCTGGCCGCAAACTTGGCTATCTCAACTCAAAACTAATGTTAAGGTGGGAGGGTCCCTTTAAGCGCCGTGCAATTTATTTATTAGTTCAGACATAATTCCTGAGAAGTCGTCTATCCCTGTGGGGCTGTAGTAGGTATCGGCAAATACGAGCTAAGCGTCTGTGAAGTAGTAAATAAATTTGATGAAATTGATCGTCTGTGAAATCTGGTCAAAGCAATGTGCGCCAACCAGTTTTCTCAGTAATTTAGCTAGCAATTCTCGTGCTATGTTCAAAAAGATGTTTACAGTGAGGGGCAAAAAACGAACTATAACACGAGACGCGGAGAATGCAACAGTGCACACGACACTAACACAAAACGCGGAGACTGCATCAGTCAACAGTACAGGGACCCGCAGTTGCTTCTGTACACACTAGTATTTCAGCGTATTCTTTGCCTGTGACACCGTTGGAGGCGAATTGGGAAATGATTGTGTGCTTATTAAAACCACCATCTGAAAGGCTTTAAACTGATGTGCTGCTCTCCTAATTCAGTGAACTTTTTATGGCTATATCAGCAAAACATTGTTTTCAGCGCTTTTTCCTGCCCCATTCCTTCTAAAACCTGGAACCGCTTATTCCATTTACTCCTGCCATCTGACGATGGTCGTGCTGACTACTAGTTCCGGCGCTAGTTACTGCTCCAGTTTTGCACCCGGCACAAACTCAGGCGGCACCGGGCCGTGGCTCGACCAGAGGAGGGTCGGACCGAGCCGACTGCCTGGGGCGCGGTTAGATCGGACGCCGTGCTGGGGAAGGGGACGGGAGTGAGGGGGAGGGGAGGAGGTGATCACGTGGTCCGTCCAAGCTCGCAGACGGCCTGTCCTGCGCCCAGCCATGTTCCGTGATCCAAAATGGCACGAGAGCTGTGGAATGCGTGGAGGAGACGCTTCGAAAGCGAATTTCAGCGGCACTAATTTGCCATATTCTGTGGAGATAAATGAATATTATCTTATTGCAGAAAAAAATTGTATGCCTAAGCTGTATAGTGTATTCCATTCGGGAGAGTGAGCACTGTTAAGAACAGCTTGACCGCGCGCATCCCTCTTGTGTGCAACGAATTCCTGACACATAGTCCCTCCGTAGACTTTTACCACCCGTCTGCATCATTTCGGAGTGAGGCTTTGACGTACAGGGTGTCCGGATAGTTCTGGCGCTTTTCAACATTTTCTAAAACAAATGCCATTGGTTCATAGATACTAATCAATGGATCAAAACAATGACCAGGGACACCAAGCCACATGCTTCCGCTACGTGCTCATTCAATGTAACCACCGTCGGCGCCGACGACGGCCTCGACGTAGGGGAGGAAGCGTCTGCGGGTTTTGACGATGCGGGGCATTTCCAGGCCCTCCCATGCTGTCATGATGCGAGTCTTCAGCGACTCCAGGTTGGGGTGAGAAATGGCCTAGATCCTGTTCTACAAAACGCGTAGCACGCCTTAGTCGAGCGGGTCAGGTTAGGAGAATAAGGCGGCCTAATCTCATTTCGCCACGGTGATCTGGCCCGGCAAGCTCCTCTGTCAGTTTAGCTTGAATGGCGGCGGCGTTGTTGGAGGGTGCTCTGTGCTGTTGAAATGCGAAGTGACCCTTAGGGCATGTCGTCTTGACCCTCGGGTTGATGTGGCTGTCCAGGAACCCCTCGTGGGCCAGCCTGTTATTCATTTATTCGACATTGACGAAGATGATGGGACATTTTTGTCCATCAGACCCCCGCACTTTCTTCGATTGCCGCGCTGAAATGCTGCTCCGTTCCCATATCGCGTTCGAAACGGTCTGAGGATATTTTTTAAGGAATTCCCGAGTCGAAATAAACCTTTACCTGCTAAACCATTCATCGAAAAACGCCGCATCGCGCTGCAACTCGCGCCTCGTTCAAGTCGCACCCGGCCGCCGCGCGCAGGCATTCAGCGACAAGGCGCATCTTCGCCCATCTACCCATCACTGAAAACGATTTCAAGGTCATATTTACACGACCCCTGGCTGAGCAATCAACGAGGGGTCATGTCTGTGATGATTGGCTGAATGTCCAATAATCACAGCGCGCGTTACACGGCGTCCAAAAGAAGCGCCAGGACTTTCCGGACACCCTGTACGCCCGTACTCTGGGCAGCTACATTGGCTGATTGAATACCTACACTACAGCCTCTGTTTTCAGTTTTATGCATGTGTTCGTGCATTTTGTCGATTGCCTTTTTAGTTATGTGACTGCATCCGTAAGTGGGCTCTTTGTGCCTGTGGGTGTCTTGGTGATAATAAACAAATAAACAAATAAGCTGTATCTTTTTATAAAGTTGTAAATAGGATTATTTTTAGGGACTTATGGTCTCGTATACACAGTGAATTGTGTTACATTAAGCCGTTTCGCTGTTATGGTTACTAACTGAAGAGTTATCCTTTTTTCTCACAGGGAATGACAATACAATAACAATACGAATAAAACCAGACGTTTCGCACAAAAAAGTGCCTCTGTCAGTGGCAAGAAATAAGTAATTAGGCATACATGTTTTCTTTCGATAAAATCGATGAAGTAGTTATCTTTATTTTCTAAGATATATTTTCAGCAGTTTTTTAAGCACATCATGGAAGCTTATAAACATTTGTGTATTTTATCGGCAACCCGGCTGGCCAGACCGAGACGGTGCCGCATATAGTTCTCATCGATGTTAAACCTATACACTTATTTTTCTCCACTGACGAAGGCACGTTGTTGTCCGAAACGTTTGGTTTTATTCGCATTGTTTTTATATTGTCATTGTCCGTGAGAAAAACATACTCACATTGACTGGTCTCAGTTCATGTAGAAATTGTTGCATATTCATCAACACAGATAAAATGAATATTAGCCCTCACTACACATATAAGTAGAGGTAGACCGCGCCCCCTGTTTTTCACCAATAAATCGCGATTCGCGGCAAAGCGAAGGATTGCGACGATTCTTTGGTGCCCTGGAGTTAATCAAATTTACAACTTCCCGGAAAATTAAATAGCCCTGATCATTTTTGCATCTTGTCTGATAATTTTAAATCCCTGAACCAAATTACCTTTAACCTGTGATTATTTTTCCCAAGATCATGTCAGGCCAGAATAGCAATTGAAAGTCAGCGCACATCTTCTGTGTGTTTCCATAGTCGTTTCGTAATTAGCAACGTGACAACATGTGAAATATACTATCTCATGTTTGTCTCATTGATTGTTGTGGGTGCCAAGGTCACGTGAAACTCAGGGTTAAGGTCATTTACTTGAAATGATATCGGTTAACCCTATTAGTGGCAGGGGG